TGAGGTTTGAAAAACAGCACGGAGCAGCGCTCTGACCTGCTGGAAAAAGATAGAAATTCTTACAGATAAGATTAGTGTGTGACAGCAGCACTCTGGAGGATCATGTGAAAAGGGAAATAATGCAAAGCCACTTTTCTAAATTCACTGGCTGTCAAACTCCGCAGTGCCGAGCCATCATTGGGAGGCAAAATAAACCCGGGAAGAACCGGAGCTTTCCAGCACGGCCATGTTTGGGAAATAAAAGTTGCTTGGATGTGAGAACATCCAAAGTTCTGATCTGGATTCACATCGAGTGGAACGGCTGCAAATAAATAATCAAACAGCTAAACTGTAAGTCGACAATCAGAGTTATGATGGAGGATTTAGTTTTAAACTAATATCCATCCTCCTCTTTTTGAGTTTTCACGAAGAGAAGCATTAACATTGCTGGGAAATGAAACTCTCTTTTTCTGTATCAAGTTTCTATATAAAAAAATAATAAGGAGTGTTCGACAAAACAGTAGCAAGTTTTAAACTTACTGACTTTTTGTCGATTGATTCGGTAAGAAATTTCTTTACCTCGATATCCATCACACTCCTACATAAAAGAGGTGACTGCTAATGAGGGAAATATCAGCATGGAGGAGTTATTACTTTTATAATATACTAAGACAACAGCGCAGAGTGATCTCTCCTTGCTGAGTCTCACTAACAACTGCTAATTACTTTTACTAAAGATAACAATTCATTCCAAGCTACCTGGAACTTCATTGTTTCACTGAGACACAATTTAACCCACAACAACACAGAATAAGAAACAAGCAGAGGTGTTCGAATGCCAATTACTTAGCTCCATGCTGTTTCTCTCTTTTTTTACCTTATATTTCATGTAACATATTTGGATACTAAGTTGTGCATTAGTTTTTATTTCTTGTGGGTGTGAGCTGTCCAGAACCAGATCTACAGGACTGTCTCAAGAAAATTAGAATATTGTGATAAAGTTCTTTATTTTTCTGTAATGCAATTAAAAAACAGCTATAGTAAAACAACAAAAGGCTTGTGATATTTCAGTTGATTTGTAACGAATCCAGAATGTATGACATTTCACGATTTTCAATTGCATTACAGAAAATAAAGAACTTTATCACAATATTCTAATTTTCTGAGACAGTCCTGTAACTAGAAGGGTCTGTGTTTAGCATTTATAATGATCCAGAATAGTGAGTCTGTGCAGAACTGCTTGGATTCCACTAAAAGCAAACAAAGCAATCCCTGAAACTCGCATAAATATAACATGAGCGCATGTAATTGACAGTGTGTTTAAATGGGTATTGCTGAGAGAGGGACAGAGGCTGTGCGATTGGGCTTGGTGATCCTCTGAGAAAGAGCTGATCCGGCTCCATGGTGAGCTCTGCGCCGGGCTCAGGCCCCAGAGCTTCAGCGGTAAGACGGGCCCTGATGTTCTGGCTGTTTAGGCTGTCAAAAGCACTTGTGGGGGAGTGGATATGCAACGCCACAGATAACAGCCCCAAACCGTCCACAAGGGCCTCTAAAACCCAGCAAATTAGCCCGCAAATGAGCCAAAGAATATTTCCACTAATCCGCGATCTGAGCAGAGACCCAAAAAGTAAACAAATAAATAACTTCACAAGGAAAAACCGGGGGTTGGAAATAACCACGGCTGTGAGCGGGGAAACCGCTAGTGGTTTCTTTGAAGCATCATTTCGCCTGATGTTCTTCACAAGTATTCCTGTGACCATTTCCAAACAAGCTCCCATGTCGGGCTTGATAAGGACGCAGTCAAATTACAGATCCACATATTACAGGAAACACTGTTCCCCACAGCATACCATCACAGCCTCTATCGCAGATGCCAGGAGGCAATGATGCATCAAAAAACTGTTGTTTGACAAAAGTAATTATGTTTGTATCTGCAGGAAAACCCATACTATTAGTATCTAGGACTGTGGACACGCTGGAATCATTCTGGTACTTTTTAAAAACAGCATTTTCAGATATTTACTGCATGAACAAATGCATTACCATTCATTTTCTTTCAACCCACTGGAGGCTGGAAATGGTCGATTTACATTTCAAAACCAAAAAATTTGATCTAAAACAAATATAAAAGAATAATTTGACCACATTCAAACAACAGTTTATTATATTTCTGCTGTTCATGTGTTTATTTCGCACCATTTGAACATGTGAGCATTATTAAAAATTATTAAAAATGCTGTAAGAATCAGAGTTTTTGGTCTGTGACTAAATACAGAAATCAACCATGAATTATCCCAAAAACTTGTGCACACAAAGAAACAATCGCCAGGACTATTATTAGAAGTTAAACCCTGAAGAGAAGTGGAACTAAATAAAAGAGACCCTACATTCAAGACAAGCTAACTCTTTTAGATTATGCCATTAAACTTATTATTATTCAGCAGTTATAGTCCACTGCAATAAAGCAAAACACAGTAGTGTCTATGCCCTGTGAATTCATGATCACCTTAATAGAATCATCACACTA